AATACTTCCCGACGAGTTGATATATATATATATATATATATATATATAACAGCTATATATGACGAAATTGTTGTAATAAAATAATCTTAAAATATACATGATTAGTTTAGGATACTATGTAATGCACATGTAAACATATGCTTTGTCCACATGCATGCACAAGCATCAAGGTTTTATAATTTTAATTTGAAGGTATATATATATATATATATATATATATATATATATATATATATATATATATATATATATATATACAAATAAAGTATAAGATCTCTTAATTACTTTTTGAGCTTAAGACTAAGATAAAATCAGCTTTAAATTGAGAATCAATTCTTGTTTGTTTGAGCAAGATATGAATAAATGTAGCATTTTGATTAATTTTTCAATACTAGAGTAGACAGACACATTTGTTAAGATATATTATGGTCAACAAAAGTCTACTTCGTTTGTAATTTCTCTACTGACGAGTTGTAAATTTAATATATATATATTAAAAAAAAAAAATTAGAAAATTTTCGAATTTTACCGAGCTGAATGAGGTGGTGTAATAACAGAGGATGAATCTCCGTTTACATACGCCGCGCAAACCGAAAAAGGACCGAATAATTGGGGAAGCCTTAATCCAAAATGGGAAGCATGCAAAAATGGAAGACTTCAGTCTCCAATTGATCTAATTGATCAAAGAGTTGTACTCTTGCCTAAACTCGGAAGTTTGAGAAGAACGTACAAGCCTGCTCCAGCTGTGATAAAAAACCGAGGCCACGATATCACGGTACGCCGTCTCACTAGATTCCCACCCCTCAATTGTGTAATAAAATTCTACTAATAACTATTTTATCTGCAGGTTGCATGGGAAGGAGATGCAGGAGGTGTTATAGTAAACGGCACCGAGTACAAATTACTACAATGCCATTGGCATACTCCTTCCGAACACACTATCGATGGAAAACGGTACTAACTTTTCGAGCACAATAAACGTTTTTTTTTTCGAATATAAAGATAATATGGAATTGTTTTGAAGATTTAAGATGGAGATACATATGATTCACAAGAGCTCGGAAGGGCATATTTCTGTAGTTGGAATACTATACAAATTGGGGCGACCCGATCCGTTCCTAGCAAAGGTGATTAATTAATTACTCTCGTTTATTTTTATCGAGTTTTATGAATAACTGTTACACATGTTGAATTAACACTTTTTAGGTTATGTTATTTGTTTTTTATTACAGATACTAAAAAACATTAAAAGAGTTAATCATGAAGGGGTGAATGCGGGGGTTCTTGATCCATGGGGCATCAAATTCGGAAGCAGAAAGTATCTCAGATACAACGGTTCTCTTACAGTTCCACCGTGTACAGAAGGTGTTCTTTGGACAATACTAAAGAAAGTAAGTTTAAAGAAAAAATCGTAATTTCTCGATTTTTTGGTTTCAACATAAGAATTTTTTTTTGTTTTTTGTTTTGGTAGGTTAGGACAGTTTCAGAGGAGCAGATAAGAGCATTGAGAGAAGCTGTTCATGATGTAAGTGAATTAAATTGATTATCGTAACATCGTTCGATGATTTTTTTACAAAAAAAATCAAGCTAGAAAAATAGGTTTTGCAAAATCTTGATCATGGTCCGTTGTGATATCGTGTTGTAGGGATTTGAGAAGAATGCTAGGCCAACTCAGCACTCGGATGAAATAGACGTGTACATGTATCGTCCAGGAACTGAGTCGAAACTCGGGTGAAAAAAGAAGAGAGAAGAATACATTGGTTATTGTAAATGCTGTGGTTTTAATTAACGAGCACAATTCCACGCTACTATTGATTTACAATATTGTGCATATTCAACTACTAGTCGATTATAGTCGATCAAACTAAATCGTTGAATTTCAAGAACGGTGAATAACATGAGAAACATTACGTTAAGTATTTGCTAAAGACACAAATAAATTGACATGGATTGTCGTATTTAACTTTCACCAAGAGCGAATGTACAGAGCCATTTTTATTTCTGCTAAATGTAAAAATGCCGGGAGACGAAAAATAACAGGCAACTTATTATCTTTATGACCACAAAAAGAGAGTAGCAAATTACACTGCGAATATAGAGGCGAAAGAAAATCGAGTAATATTGGATTACACCACATAGAGAAAAAAAAAATTCAGCAAAAACGAAGAAAATTCATACATGGAAATTCCACAAGAAAGCAGAGCAAATCAGTACAAAAAGAAAACAACAACGTCGGAAGTCACAAATTACGCTACATTGTCCTAAGCAATGATGAAAGGCAAGACGGTTAACATGAACGATTCATAGTTGAAATTTGCCGAGCCAGTCATTTGGGTATCCTTTTCTTTGAATTTTTCAGTCAGTCCCTGCATAAGTAATTACAAAATTTGAATCCCGAAAAGAAAAATCGAACCATAAATAAGGAAAGAAAGACGTTATCAAGAAGATATTTACCTTAACAGTGAGACAGCACCTGGCAAAAGGAAAAAAAATAAAAGTAATAAAGATTAGTAAAAAGTTCAACTAAATCAAAATGAAACGTAGGAGTGATTGTTAAAGGACATACTCAATGAAATTGTCGTATTCAATGGCCTTGTTTTTGCCGCCGTTTTTATCGAACTTGGATACCAGTAAATCAAGAACCATAGGCGAAACTGAAAATCCAAGACTAAGGAGAGCATCTCTTAATTCTGTTGCATCTATCTTGTTACTTCTGTCCCTATCGAATCTCTCGAATATTCCCTAGATGAACAAAGGATTTAATCAAATCAGATTTAAAAAGGAGAGTGTGTGTCAACATCCACAAACCGAATGGAGTTAAAAAAATGCTAAAAATGGATTCGGAGACTGACCCCCCAATTCTGAAGACTGTAATATACTTGAGTAAATTCCTTTGGACCTGTTTCAAGATATAACACCAAATCAACAACATGAACTAAATCTATAAACGAACTTGTTTATCGTAAGATGTTACAAAGTTTACAGTTGGAGAAAAAGAAAATTTCACTCTCACGAGAAGGGAAAAAAAATAGAGAAACGTCCGGTAAAGCAATAGTAACTTTGTTGTTTCTCAACTACGACATACAACAGTACCGTTCTCATTCATTAGCAACATTATATCCACCACAAAATTCACTCGTTTAGTTTTTCTTGCCTAATTCTATGATTCTTCGTGTGACTATCTCCAGTTCCTTCACCATATAACACGAGAAGGTAATACTGTTTTTTCCCCAGTCCCATTCAAATTCACCACATCCACTTCCCGAAAGTTCAGAAAAAAAGCAGGTAGAATCTTGTCAATCAAACAACTTTATTACATCGTAGTATCACAAGTAAACGAGGCTCTAATTTTTCTCTTTTGGGTACAATTATCGGATGGGCAGGTGATAACGAAACCCTTTATATATCCTATGATTCAAGGATAACAAGACGACTAAGAGCCGATTCCATCTTGGAATGACCCCTCGTTTCAAAGCGAGAGAACATTAAGGATTCAACCTAATTACAGAATCAAGAAATATAAGATAGCATTTTTTTTTTTTTTTAAACCATTAAACTACTATCACCACGGATCGTCACCACCCCAACAGAACAGCCAAAACTATAAAATTCCAGAATTATTACCACTCAGTTCAATGCCACAATTCCATATTAATAAATTCAGTTAATTCTCAATAAATAAAGCCTGAATGAATTTTAGGGTTATGCAGATCGATTGAGATTTGCTGATTTTCAAAATTCAAATAAATAACAGAGTCAAATCGAAGCCATAACACAATTGAACACATAAAATTACGATTCCCTTTAGAACAATCAAAATAGAGCTAAAGGAGCTGATGAGTGTACGGATCCATACCTATCTTTCTGACATTGCTGTTGGTGAAGTTATACATAAGCAGATGAACAGTCCTCATTCCGAAGGACTGATTATACCCCGACAACAAAGCCTGAAGCTCCTTATCGTCAATAAATCCACTTCTATCCCGATCGGCCGCCTGAAATTGCGCGATCACGGTCGGATCAGTACCGGGTGGAAAATCGGAGGCCACAGGGGCGCCGAAGGGGCTTCCGTACGGGGCGGACGGTGGATAGCCGCCGTAAGGCTGGTGCGGCGGCGGGGCGCCGTAAGGCTGGTGAGGCGGCGGGCCGCCATGTTGCTGCGGAGCCGAGTACGGGGAGCCGGCAGGGGCGTACGGCGAGGGTTGGTGGGGATATTGTGGAGCACCTGGCTGAGGAGCTCCGTAAGGAGCGGAGGGATACGACTGGGAGGTCGGAGGGGCGCCGTACGGGGCGGAGGGATACGATTGGGAAGTCGGCGGCGCGCCGTAGGGGTAGCCGGAAGGGGGCTGGTTGGGGTAGTTTGACATGGTTGAAATTGGAAAGAACTGTAGGATAATAATTGTGCGTGAACACAGTGGCCTTTTAATGGTGATGGGAGTTTTGAATTTGGGTATGATTTTCAGTAAATATTACGGTTCTGCCACTCGCCTTTAAATGTTGATTCAACTACTAATATTTAGGGTAAATAGCACTTAACCCCCTTGTGGTTTGGACATTTTGCACATGACCCCCTTATGGTATGAATTTAGGCACATAACCCCCTTGTGGTTTTGACATTTTGCACATGACCCCCTTATAGTATGAAATTAGGCACATAACCCCCTTGTGGTATGAATTAGCACATACCCCCTTGATAAAAATTGGAAAGACTACATTGCACCCCTATCAAGTCAAAAATTCTTGTTTTAATTTAAAAATAATTATTCTATAAAAGGACAAGCTTAATGTATTGTTTTGTAAAATGAGAAATATAATATATTATTGTGTTTTTTCTATTTTACCGCACATCTTTTTTTTAAATTTAATTTTCATTTCAACTTTAGATAAATATTTTTTTAGATTTTTCTAAAAGAATAAAAAAAATAAAGACTTTGTTTCTTAAAAAAAATTAAAGTTTGATAATAGCTATAATATAATATATTATATAGCAAATAGTAATATAACAATCATAATTAAGGACAATGTTAAAGATTTTCAAATTGATTTTTTAAATCGTATAAATTGTCAATCTTACAAGAACTAGTAAAATTAAAATCGAATAATTTGTCAATCGTACACTTAACCCCCTTATATTTCTCAATTTACAAAAAAGTACATTAAGCTTTTCATTTTATAGAATAATTATTTTTAAATTAAAACAATTTTTTTTAACTTGATAGAGGTAATTTAGTCTTTTCAATTTTCCATTCAAGGGGGGTATGTGCTAATTTCATACCATAAGGGGGTTATGTGCAAAATTTCAAAACCACAAGGGGGTTATGTGCCTAATTTCATACCATAAGGGGGTCATGTGCAAACTGTCAAAACCACAAGGGGGTTATGTGCCTAAATTCATACCATAAGGGGGTCATGTGCAAAAATGACTAAACCACGAGGGTGTTAAGTGCTATTTACCCTAATATTTATTATCTTTGAACTTAATATCTTAAATAAATCAAAAATTGCAAATAAAATTATATTATATTTAAAAATTGGTAAATTATACATTCACCTCTGAGGTATGCTAAAATAATTCTAACGTCCCTGTGGTATCAGTAATTACAACGACCCCCTAAAACATTGTCAAAAACTCCAACGGAATAATGCGTTTGATAAGTTATTTCGTTATGATTCTAACGGACTATTAGTTTCATGAAGTGGTGAAGACGACATAGAGTTAGAGCGGTGACATACCTCCCCCGACATTTCTTAAATCCTTATTATTTTATATAAGATTTATAAATTTCCGTCTGTGGTAGCATTAACGGCTCCGTGGAAAACAAATATAGTGCATATCGGTCCCCAAAACATGAAATCTTGGCTCCGATAATTTAGTCATGGGTGTAGATGTAATTACCAATACTATATGGACCTTAAATTTATTTTAGCATAATTCAAGGGTGTAGGTGTAATTTACCCTTTAAAAATTGAGGCTCGTTTTAGATATTTATGAACACAATACATTATTCAATATAAACAACAATATTTTTATTTAAATTAAGTAGTAATTCCGAGTACGCAGAGGGTTAAATTTGTAAATTGAGGAGATATAATAGACCCTTAATCATCGGCTACGCGTCTGCGTGCCCCGATCAAATCCACGTGGTCTGTCAGCACACGGCACACGTTAACGGCATTTTGACGTTGACTTTTAATTGGCGTTGACGTTTACTTGGGATGGGAATGCAATTGATTAGCTTAGATAATATATGATATACATCTTTGAATAACTCCCAATTTGGCTACTTGCAGATTTGTCAATAGTCAGACAAAACTTTGGATTTGTTCAATTTGTGCTTTGTTGTAATGACAGCTAAAGTTAGAATGTAATGTCAATTTCATCCCATTTTGAAATGGAAATTTTCAATTTTAAGAATAGTTTAATTTAGTTCTGACTTCCAAAATTTCGATTTTTTTATTTTCCGACAATCTTTACTCATTGAATTTGGGACTACGTATAACAGTATAAGTAATTTAATTGCAATAGAATTCAAACTTGGTCAAATAACATAATCAACCCTCGTTACGAGAGTTGATACCTAACATTCAAGAAACAACGAGTTATATTCTACAATACATATGCTCGCGCGCAGACACAATACGCACAAACACACGAGTGGAAAATTATTCAACACATTATATCGAGTGTAACATTTACAAGACTGATTCCGTTGATTTCGTATATATGCATGACGTATCACATACTGCAACGTAATTCGATCCACGAAACCGTAGGAACAAGGAATACATACACATTTAATATATGAAATAAAAAATTCAATCATATTTTCCGTATTTAGATCGGGATCAACATATAATTATTATGGATTTATGCTTTTGAAGAAAGAAAACATATAAATTAATTTTATCGTCTTTGGATTTGCATGAAATTAATTCAAGACTCTTGAAAGTTAAAAAACACATGCAGAAACTCAACGTACATATTAAATGCATAACAAGAATTAATGTCAATTTGCCATTTTTAAATTTACCAAATCTCCAATCCCTTCCCATAATTAATGAAAGTTAAAAAAAAAAAAAAAGAAAAAAGAAAAAAGAAAAAAAGAAAAAAAGAAAAAAAGAAAAAAAGAAAAAAGTTTCTATCAATCTCACTATATAAACGTACACCCCGCTGTCTAGTCTCTGAGCAAATCATCGTCAACAATTATGGAACATTCGAACAAAAACGAGAGGCGAGGAACGATTCGTGTTTTGATGTTCCCGTGGTTAGCTTACGGTCACATAACACCAGGGCCGGCCCTGGGCCGGTGCAAACTGGGCAACCGCCCAGGGCCCATTAGTGCTAGGGGGCCCAAATTTTTATGTAATTTTCCTATATATCTATTTATATATACGTATAAATATTTATATTTATTTATATTTTTTCCCTAAATTTCTCAACCACATTAAACGGCTGCAACCCCAAACATACAATAACTCTTAATCTTCTGCCCATAAATCTCTCCAACTAAATCCATAAATCTCTCCATATATCTCTTTAATTTTGTTCAATTCCAACGTGCATCTTTTAAATTACCGATATTTTTGCACCCATTTGTCAATTTAAATGAACTCAATTTCAATTTTTACTCACTTATTTTTTATCGTTTTAGCTAAACTTTTCTCCATCTTCTCTGATTTTCTCCCGTTCCAAGCCATTCTCAAGTTTTCCACATCTTTCTCAAAATCGAGATCTTTGAAATTGGGTGACTGTAATATTGATTTTATATTATTTATTTTCAAACCCATGGAGATTATTCTGTGTGTTCAAAGTGCTCAATTCTAAAGCTTGTGTAAATTGTGATTTCATCAATCAATTGGGGAAAGGTAACCAATACCCTCACTGTTTTTATTAATAAAATACACTACTTAATTTATATTTTCTTTTGTTCTTAATATCATTTATGTAATTTTGATTATTTGTTGTATTTTGCAGATTAACATATTCAACAATTGAAAGTGTAAGAAGTTGACTATCACAATTCACTGGTTAAATACAAGAAGGCTGCGTACATCAGGTTTTATTGTTCTTTTATTTTTTTATTAATATTTTTTTGGTGGTGTCTTTTTTTCATCTTTCTTTCTGTGTGCTTTTTTTTTTCTGTGTGCTTCTTTTGATTGAGTTGTACTGTTTAATTTACTTCTATAAGCATGAAACAATTATCTGGAGCTCAAAAAAAGCAAAGAAAAAAAAAACAAGAAAAGATTGCCAAAAGCTTAGAGTATTCTTTGAACAGATATTTTGGTCCTGCAAATTTAGTTCGTGGTCAACAAAATAATTTTGATGCAAATGAAGAATTATTAAATAATGAAGATGCCATAAATGTTGAATTTGTAGAAAATGAAAATGTTGTGAATGTTGAATTTGTTGAAAATGAGAATGCTGTGAATGCGGAATTAGTAGAAAATGAGAATGATGTGAATGAAAATGAAGAAAATAAACATATTGATGAGAATGATGGGAATGAAAATGACCATTTGAAAACAAGCTATGTGTTAGACATTTTTGACCCAAGAGTTTGGGATGGTTTGGATACAAAAATGAAAGATTTACTTGTTGAAAAGGGTCCCAAAAAAGAATACGATCTCAAGTTTCCTTTGGATAAAGAATCTAGACATTTTTCATATACATATTATGTGCAGATGCTACCAAACGGTGAAACTCGGGATAGAAAATGGTTGGTTTACTCAAAGGAGTTAGATAAAGTATTTTGTTTTTGTTGCAAGTTGTTCAAAGTAATGCACACTAGAAGTAATTTAGCAAGCGAGGGGGTTAACGATTGGAAACATTTGGGTGATAAGTTGAAACAACATGAACATAGTGTTGAACACCTTACTAATTTGAGAGCTTGTGTTGAATTAGAAATGCGATTAAATAAAAATAAGACAATTGATAAAGATTTGCAAGAACAGATTAGAAAAGACACAAAACATTGGAAACATGTAATGTTGAGAATAATTGCCGTTGTTAAATGTCTTGCTACACATAATTTGGCATTTCGTGGTACACATGAAAAAATTTATGAAGATAGTAATGGTAATTTTTTAGGCATGCTTGAAATGATTGCGGATTTTGATCCAATAATGCAAGAGCATTTTCGCCTAATTCGTAATAAAAAGATACATTATCACTATCTCAGTCATAAAATTCAAGATGAGTTGATATCTATCTTATCTTCTAAGGTGAAAACTGCAATAATTAGAAAGATCAAAGAAGCAAAGTATTTTTCAGTGATTCTTGATTGTACACCAGATGCAAGTCATAAAGAACAAATGACTCTGATATTGAGATGCGTAGTTGTCTCATCTTCTCCAATTACAATAGAAGAGTACTTTTTAGAATTTTTAAATGTTGACGATACAACGGGATTAGGACTTTTTAATG